TTTTTTTGCGGGATTCTTTGGTCAAATTTTGGCGATTTTCAGGTTTACGATTTTGAAAAAGCCATCACTGGAAAAGACAATACAGATAGCATCAATTTCCGATTGGACAGAACAATGCAAGTCAAGCAAGCGCTGTTGGAAAGGGCAAACCTGACTAACACGGTAGGGATCTTAACATCGTATCATTGCCAACACCACAGGGATTTTAAGAGCATTACTATTGATTATCATTATTAAAAGTGTAAGAGTTTAAAAAAGTGGGAAGAATAGTAGTGCACAAAAACATGACCACAGAAGCGGCAGAAAAGGATGCTTGGACGAGATTGCGGTTGCCCCAATAGGGTAAGGAGCTGGCTCCAGAGGTCAAAAGTGGCTAAAAGAAAAGGAGAAGTATTATTGCAAGTTCCGTATATAGGCGTCGCCATCTGTAATCGTCTGGGTGTCTCTCACACGAACGTACTATTCGTCAGCGTCCTGATGCTTTATCGTGAATGGCGCACCTCAACAAGGGTGTCATGACGCGGCCATGTTGGGTGTGCACGGCGGCCCTCATAACGCCCTGTCGAGGTCGTTTTTCGACCCGGCAATGTTCCTGGTCCTATCGTTGGAGGCCAATTGGGAGCCATTTAAAGCGCAAGTTTTGCCTTCAGACTTTAGGTAGTGCAGTGGCTGAAGAGGGAAGCAGCGAGTACAAGGCAATTATTTTCCAACCTTTTCAACTTCTCGAGTTCCGTGGTTGCCTGAAAACAGAAGGGTCCCGACATGAAAATCGGCCGCCACCTTACCTTCCTGATCTTGAAGGCCTTCCCTCCCGAAGTACCCCTCACGGAAAATGTCCCTTCCTTCAGAGAGGTTGAGGAATCGCAGCTCTTGAGCATTATTTCGAAAGCAATTTTTTCAATAGCGTAGGAACGGCTCTTCAATTCTAACCAATGAGTAGCTCATTCTGAAAAATATATAACTACTCTATTACCTACTTTTACTTATTGAATTATTTTATTATCTATCCTTCTCAAACTTTTAGGTTACCGCTGCAGATAACGGCATTTTCGACAAAGACCTGTTGCTGACTGAGAAGCAGGCTAACTTCCTTCTCAATGAACTTGGAAAAGCTGGAGAGGGAGCAGATGTGCCTCCACCAGGGAATGGTGCGAAGAAATTTAAAAGGTTGGTCTAATTTGCTAAGATTCTTCAGTCATTCAGGTAGACTTCATTAATTGCTCATTGTGCCCAAAGGGCATTCTATCCGTATTCGCCGTCTATGTCAGGAAAGTTGTCAAGCAACTTACTCATCAGCCTTTCTCACCCCCTCGCTCCCAAACTGTTTTTTCCCGGTTACTAAGCGCATAAGTCAAAAGGCAGAGTGGCTGCTTTGATTGTCCGCCGGCGTGCCAGCCGAGGTAGTACTAGGGGGT